ATCACATAATCGTGAGTAATTGAATTTATTTAATTTGACGCATATTAAACTTATTAATTTGATCACTCTGACGACTAACAAATTAAACATAACATAGACATCAAATAAAAAATAATTTCAATCACATCAATTTACTTTAGTATTAGTGATCTAATTCAAGATCCAATTCACAACGGAAATTTAACATAATTCACATAAATAAAATTATATGAAAAATCATAAATTTAGTAATCAAGAATTTGATGTCATATGTTAGAAATTCATGTTTAACACTTATGACACAAATTATAAAATACATAATAGCCAAGATCTTTTAAATTCATGATTTTTATATATTTATAATAACGTATAACATACCTGTATTAAATTATAAAATACATAATAGCCCTGATATTTTAAATTCATTATTTTTACATATCTATAATAACGTATCCCATACATGTATTAATGATAATAAAATTTGATCTTGAAGAGATGGAGTTTCTCTCTCTAATCCATTGAAACTTTGTGTACTTTCTGATGGAGGGAAATGTACGGGGTGTGCTGGGAAGAGAGATGACCATTCTTTGAATTAAACTCTAGGGGTTACTAACCAATAAGATTTATGATAATTTAATAAATTAATTGATTTTTATTACTAAAATCAATGCAATGCATGAGTTACAAAAATAAATATTATAAGTTATAACATAAGTTATGAGTTAAAAAAATTAATAACTTAAGTTATCAGGAGTTATAAAAATAAATATCATAAGTTGTGACATAAGTTGTGAGTTAAGTAAATAAATAAATTAAGTTATCATGAGTTATAAAAATAAATAATATGAGTTATCATAAGTTATGACATAAGTTATGAGTTAAGAAAATTAATAACTTAAGTTATCATGAGTTATAAAAATAAATATCATAAGTTATGATATAAGTTATGAGTTAAGAAAATAAATAACTTAAGTTATCAAAATAAATATCATAAATTATTAAAATAAATACGAGCGATAAATAAAAATTTAATAAGGCCCCGTGGTTTTTCCCTTTACGGGTTTTTCACATAAAAATTTATGGAGTCATCACTGCTTAATTTTACTTCATCTGTGTGTGTACTGAATTCTCGTACAATGTTAAGACAATAATCTGTTACTCTACCGCCGTGAATTTTCCAGCACGCATTAGTTATAAAAATGATCCATAAAAAATTCCCAAATAAATATTTCATTAAATATTAGTTAAATATTAAAGCACACAAAAAAACTTGAACTAATGTATCTTTAACAAATAATCTCTGAAAATATGAGGATAAAATAAACCAACCTCTCATATCATATGAGATAGAGAGAGGGGAGACAGAAGAGAGAATGGAGAGGTAGAGGGGGGAAGAGAGGAATATTTTGGGTGGAGAGAGAGGGCAGCTTGTGAGTAAGTGAGTGGTGTGGCGAGGGATTGACTACGAGAAGAGGTGAATGCATTGGAGTTGTAGGAGGTAAAACATAAATAGTGAGTTTGCTTACGACCAAAAACCACATATACATGAATTTAACATCAAAATAACTTTTTTTAAGGAAATAACTTTTTTCTTAAAGTTTCCCATTACAAAAAATTTTAATGGGGGTCCCATAAAAAATTTGTGATGATAAAATCAAAGTAGGGGTGTTTGGCTCCAAGGAGAATTCAAGTTAAATAGGATTTACTAAATTCGATAAATCGAGATCTATTAAATCTAAATATTATTAAATTTGAAATGATGGTTGATTTAATTAAGATTAAATCTAGCTAAATCCATTTACTATATTTGACATAAATCTATTTGAAGTATTTTTTTTTTCTACATCAAGTCCATTAAATTCAATTAATAAGTGAATTTAGTAAATCCAAATTTAGGCTCCGTTTGGGGCAGTTGCAGTTGCGCCGCCTCAAGACGCTACTGCGGAGAAACAGACTTTCTGTTTGTTGCAGTTGTATGAAAGCAATTGTGGGGCAACTATTTCTAGAAAAATGACTATCCTGCCAATATTTGATAAAGTTATTTAAAACAGAACAGTGACAGCTACACATTTGATACTTTCGAAGCTGAAATTTATTTCAAAATAGAACAAATGTTCAAATACACAACTCACTTCACAATGAATATCGAATGTACTACAGAAAAAGAAAAAAAATTAATAAAATTACAAGTAAAATAAGAAATTAATAATGTATATTTTTATGTAATTTCTTTCTAATTATAATAATACTTATTATGTTGTCCAAAATAAAAAAAATGTATACTTTTATGTAACTTGTGTGAGCTATGTATTTTAAAATACATTATTTTTTTTAAAATGGTCATGGATTCACTGTAGTTTATTTTTCTTTTTAAGAATATTAAATTAAATGATTAGTTATTTCTCTCATATTACTATATCATATTACAACATAGATACATAACTATTAATTAAATAATATTAACATTACATTCTGAGTAAAACAACTTAAATACTATAAAATGGGTTACTTTATTTTTGCCTGAGCTCACTCTTTGCTTACTATGAGTCCGTTTAGGGCAGCTTGTGTGTTTCAGGATAAGTTGCTTATCTTGAAACGCAGTCTGCATGTCGGCCGCAGGGGTCGACCCACGGCCCGTGTTTAGTGTAAAAACCCAAACGCAGTTTCGGATAAGCTGGCGAAACGTGCGAACCAAACGGTACGGTGGCGTTTTCAAAACACCGCCCACACTTATAAGCTGCCCCAAACTGACCCTATATTAACTATACATTCTAAGTAAAACAACTTATAATTATTTATGTCGTCCCTTCCTCCTTCGCTTGAATATGCACCGACATAGCCTCTCTGTTCGCCCTTCTTCTCCGCACTTCTTGAAGTATTTGGATCAATCGTAGCTTTGTTGTTCACGTTGAACCCTAACACCTTGTCTCCTTTGTTCAACGATCACAAACGTCTTCGCATTCAGATCATCCCAAGAAGGAGAGTATTCCTCTTCATTCTTATTTTTCTTCTTCCTCACCTCACCTCGCCTCGCCTCCGCATCCGCCTCACTCACTTTGCCTCTCGTTCACCAGAGAAACCATTTTGCTCGATCGCAAGAGACTGGAGATCTCGAGGCAAAAGAGGGAAAAGTCGATTGATAATGAGGGTCGAGGGCTCGATCCTGACACCCTTGTTCCACCTATTTTAGCGACGAGCGGCCACAAACATGCCATCGAAACGATTTTTTTTTTTTTTTGTCAACTTCACTATTTGGGGCTGCACCGTGTGAATATGCGGCCCCAAACAAAGCCTTAATAAAAGAAACAAATTAAATTTGAATTTAACTTAACAGTACAATTAACTAACCTATTTATTATGCTTGATTGGATTTACATTAAATACTCTAGAGATAAAAATCTGTTCGGACATCACACGTCCAGACCGTTAATCACCAGCAGACACGTCAACATACACCTCATTGACGTGCGACGTGCTACTAATGGTTGACCATCTGGACGTGTAAATGTTCATACAAAAATATCGTTTTCAAAAGTATGGTACCAAACACCAACAAATTAACACCATAGACCAATCAACCACTTCTCGAAACCATCAGTTACATCATTAAGCTCTCCTGGTTAGTGGTGTAAACGAGTCGAACATGAGTGAGCCTAGACTCAGCTCGTCAGCTCGTGCTCGACTCGTTAAAAAATATCACTGTTCATGTTCAGCTCATTTATATTTCAAACACAAAAAATGTATTGGTGTTCGACCAAACGAGTCGAACATGAGCTGTTTGCGAATAAAGAGTCGTTTTGGCAACCCTAATCATACAGCCGTAGAATGTTAAAAGTTGGGGAAAGATTTAAATCTTGTTGTTTTTATAAAATTTTTTTAAAATATATTTAATATATATTTATTATTTATTTTTATTTAATAAATTTTATTGATTATAAATTTTTATAGTGTTTTAGTCAATTAAATTTTTTAAAATACTACATATCAACATATATAAAATTGATGAGTAATATTTTGAGTCAAAATGAGTAGAATATGAACAGATAAATTCTTGTGCATGTAAGAATCATTTATATATCGAGCAAAAAGAAGAAAAATTCATATTCAATTTGTAAACTTATAGAAGAGGGAAAAATATTACATCAGTACTACACACGTAGAGTAACGTGCGTAGCCAATGAAATCACGCTACGACGCCGGCGCGATAGAGGAAAAAAAAACGGCGCAGTAACACGAGGAATATTCCCTCGGTGTTATTCATGTGTTATAGTGTCATGAAAATATTCCTGGTGTTATAATAACAGTGTTATAATAACACAATAACACATCAATAACATATGAATAACACATGAATAACACACAATAACACATGAATAACACGGGGGAGAATATTCTCCCGTGTTATTGTATCATTTTTTGTCTGTCGGGAATATTTTTTTCTCTGTCGGGAATATTTTTTTCTCTGTCGGGAATATTTTCCGTGTTATTTAGGTGTTATTGTGTGTTATTCATGTGTTATTTTGTTCTGAGAATATTTTATGTGTTATAATAACACAATAACATATCAATAATACGCAATAACACATCAATAACACATCAATAAAATGTGAGGGAATATTCCCCGTGTTACTGCACCGTTTTTTTTCTCTGTCGCGTGAGGTGTCATGGCGTGATTTCATTGGCTACGCACGTTACTTGTACGTGCGTAGTACTGATGTAATATTTTTTCATAGAAGAGAAGGAATCGAACACTAGCTGATCGCGAACATCGAGCTGCCTTGACAGCCCTACTCCCTGTCCCTTCGGAAAAAAATTGTGTGCACAAAAGGTACTAAGCGCTGAGTACATAATAGATGTTATACTTGCGCTATATCACTTGTAATTTCTATATAATTTTCATATAAATTACATGTACGTGTGTGTCTATATATATATATATATATATATATATATATATATATAAAAAGAGAAACCCGAAATTTATTTATAAGATCAAATAAAGTGAATATAAAGTCTACTTACGCAAATTTTTCTCGGTTCAAAACCACCATCGCCTTCGTGAGCGGATCCTCCCGATACGGTCGCGCCTAGAGCTAGTCGGCAAGGCAACGACAGGATCCCGGCGTGCAGAGACCACCGGAACTTCCATTTTTCTCATCCTTCCACTCCGCTCCAGTCAGAAAACATCGAGGAAGGTTAGGCTGCTCGCGCCATTCTTCCTGCTTGCTCTTCCCGGATTTACTATAGAAGTCCTATATGTTAATCCCTCTATTTTTCTTTGCCCCACGGAAACCCTCGCCCTGCCTCGCAAAATTCCATTCCGAAAACCTTCGCCTCTAGCTGTCTCGCCCTCTCTTGCGAAAATCCCTTCCGAATACTCTCGCCAAAGCTCCCGCGGTCTAGCTCTTCCTCGCCGAAACCCACGCTCTCGCTCTCATATTGTGCCGCGGCCCTCGCCTCTTTATATGTATTTGTTTTTTTCCCAGGAAATTTGAGTGGCATGAGATCTAACAATTATGTTTAATTAGCATGTTTGAAGGTCAGAAAAGAGGAATTAGTTGTCCCACATTTGTTTACCTATATAATTTTTTAATCAGAAGTCTAGAACATCTAACATTATCAAGAAAGGCATGTTGATTACACTAGCTAAACAACTAGAAGTTTGAAAAGGTTAAAAACAATATGGGGACTTACATACATAGCGCCCAATTCTTATGCATCTATCTATCTCACACCCAAACTCTCATTTTTACAAAGCAAGCACCCAAATTTCCTTTTTCACTACTCACAAACAGTGAAATCCACATTTTAATCCATAGGTAGGGTGCTAATGTTGTAAAAAAATGAGGGTTTGGGTGTGAGAAAGGTAAATGCATAAGAATTGGGTGCTGTGTATGAAACAATAAACATGAGAAATTTATGAGTTTTGGGTGAATAGGGGAGATGCATGACTGGGCCATGACCGAGTTGAGCTTAAAACAGGCACAAGACATGGAACATTTTAGCCTTATAAGTTTCTCTATGCTAAAATATTTTGAATGAATCATTTGTCATTCAACTGTTATTGAGCAAATGCTCTTGATCAAAATATTGCAAATTTGTAAATATTATAATTTGCTTGCATAGACCTAAATTAAAGTGGTTATTTTTCAAGCTTCTATGAGTCCTAGAAATATCTGCCATCTACCAAACATTTTTCTCCCCCTATTTTGATCTTTCTTGCCATCACAGAACCCATTCATCTGATGAATAATGCATTATTCTTATATAAAGCCAACTGCACCTTAACCAAAAAAGGGAATTGCTGTTCATGAATCGACATCGTTTTGATTTGTCCATTTGTTCCACTTCTAACTATCTTGATAAATTGATCTATTGGAGGCATATTTCTGTTCTCCAAGCCAACTTGAACTAATATCTCTGGCCTTTTTGCGGCTGCTTTCACAACCTATATTGAAAGTAGCACCATGTCTAGCAACAATTGTTAGGGGTGTGTATTATTTGGTCAAAGTCGAAAAGCCAAACAAAACAAATTTGTTTGATTCGGTTCAGTTTCAAAATTACATATCAGTTTTTGATTATCGGTTATTGGTTTTGTTTTAATTTTCATTTAACCAAACAAATCGAAAACCCAAGTTCAATTAAAATTTTATGCTCTATTTTAATTTTATGTAAAATAAAAGCATCGTATGCAATATTTGATTGAAATAAATAGAGGATTGATGAAATTAAATCGATATTATACATGTAAGATATGTTATTCATGATATTTGTTCATAACCGAATTTCAACTGGCAATTAAATTTGCTTTTTTCTTAATTGAACCATTTAAACAGAATCCAATTTTTCTTTGCTCGGTTTAGTTTTATCAAAATATTGATTGGTTTGGTTTTCAAATTTTGAATTTTGTTTGCAACCGGTCTGGCGAAATTAAAAATTGATTCATCCAAACCCTACGCAACACTCAACTCTAATAGTAAGTTCTAATATGGATGATGAGACATACAGACAAGAAGAAAAAAAACAAGATGACAACTAGTCATAACAAGCATTATAAGGAAAAAAGACGCTTTAAACATGCTCCACGGAAATAGTAATTGAATTGTTTTCTATCTAGCCTATTGATTAAGTTGAGGAGCTAAAATATCATGAGGGTTAAGATCATTGTTCATTCATGCAAATCAAGACTAAAGAGTTGATCATATATGAGAAGAATAGTAGGGATAAAATAGTGAGTTGGTTCCAAATTTTGCATGCACATATGATCGGAAATAAGAGTAGTACTAAAATTTTTTGAGGGTAGAAATTGATCATCCGTATATTCTCCTTAGACTTGGATATTTAATTTCTTATGCATGAATGAGTCTTCAAACACTCTTAGTACAAGTTCCCAAAGTTTTGCTTGAAGAATAATATGAAGGAATATCCTTAGAATTTTACCTATAGTCAATAGTCACACGATTGCGAGCCACTTCAAACTTTTTTCTTCTGAGGATTAGCGATGTCCATTCACGCTAGAACTTTAGCCTTTTGCTACCACATAAACCTATAATGGATTATTAAAATTAGATCCCATAGAGTATGAGGTGAATTGGCTGAGGTATTAAAGTAATGCTTTGGAAAAGCAACTCCAACAAGCTGATAGGTGGTATTTTGGATGAGCCAATTTATAGAGACCATTTTAACATGTGCATTAGAGTCGAGGAATTTTAGGAGCTATAGTGGTGTGGAACCATTTATAGGAACGACTAAAAAGTCCATACTCTAATTAAAATTGCAATAGGAGACAATTTTATTTTCAAAGGTTGTAGGATCAAAGTATAGAGAAAAATGTGATTAAAACTTCCTTAAAATCAAACATAAACTTAAATGACATATCGGAAGACAAAAATACGAATGAACATCAATTTTAATATATTTTTAACAATCCTACTAGGAAATTTTAAAAATTCCATCATATTTATAGAAAGAAATTGCAACAAACTTTCACATTAAAGGATAGTAATCAATCTAATGTGAAATCCATAGCTTAAGGACTTTATAAGTAATTTGCCATATACTAACAAAGTTGCTGCACCTTAACATGCAAGAGAGTAGTCCATGGTGTGTCTTAGTCCTGGTCACCCCCTAAAAAATTGGATATCTAGTGTAAGACACAACACCTTAAAAATACAATCTCATCCTGAAAAGAGATGAAACAGATTAAAGGCAGTGTAAAACTTGGGATGAACTATACAACTAATATAAAGAAACCAAGTACAATTTGAGTTATTATTATTATAAATTCACATTATTTATAAAGACATTGTACAAATAATACAAATAATTTGAGCTTTCATGTTTGTGAGTTCCTCGTTTGTTGTCCCTTTCATGTTCATTTGATACGAATTTTAGTAGTCGACAAATATTTTCTTATGTAGGGGGCATTTAAAGGTAGGCTGAAGTTGTTTTAACATAAACTTTATGTACTAATAATTAATTTTGTTCGGTGGTGTGGATGTTCTTCCCAAGCAATTCAGACGTTCATGCTTTTAGGTGTAATTCGTTTTGTAAAATGAGCGATGATTGAAAGTGTTGGTTGCAATCAAGACTTGTTTAGTCTATTTTTTATGATATTACATCTATCATACATCTTCAACACCATATTTAGCTGTATTTGATTGCCAAGCAATGTCATGGTCAACATAAATAATGGGTTATTGTAGTTCATTTTAACTTAGTTCTAGTTCAAGTCTATAGTGCTAAAAGTTTCAAGTGTTGAGGTAAGTTCTTGTCGTGCTCCTACACAAGCTTAGAGTTGTTTATGGGTATTTTTCTTACTCGATTATGTTCTTTTAAAACGACATTGATTTTGACATTTTCTTACTCTCATTGTGCTTTTATATTTTCCTTTTATTGTTTTTTTTACTTTGATCAATTTATTTTCTTAATTTTTTAATTTTTTTGAGTGTTGTTATTAACAATTTCTACAGTGCTTTTGAACCATCTCCCTGCAGAGCCATTTATGAAAATGTTGGGCATTCACACTAATCTAGTAAAGTCATTTATGAATGGTATATGTGTATCTTAAATGTATGTACAAGTCTTCATAATTTCACGAAAATTTACAATTTTTGATTTCGAAATGTGTCAAGAATGATGCTCTATCACAATGATACACTCCCTAAATCGTTCTAGAATGTAAACGAGTCGAATATCATTCAAGGGCTATTTGGTTTGCCAAAAAAATAATGTAATGTAAAATGAATGCAGTGCAGGAGTAATGCATTATATTTAAAGTACTTTGGAGCTGTTTGGTTCAGTGTAAAACGAACAAACAACTTTATTTTTTATTGTTTGGTTTGAAGTTGAAAAAAATGTATTTCAATGTATTTAAGAAGTAATGCGTTTGTTGGCAGCGTGGGTGAGTAGCGTTGGTGGCTTGCAACGGGCTGCTAGCATGGCTTGCGGCGGGCGGCTGGTTGGGCATGCGACAATAGGCATAACTAGCGGCGGCAACCAACAACAATACTTTACATAGAGGTGTGAATTTAAAAATCGGCTAAATCGATCAAATTCCAAATGCAGAGATAATGAACTATATAATGTACTCTACATTTGATCATATTTTCTACTGTATTTGAAATTTGGCAGATGAAATGCCAAAATTCTTAAAACCAATGCAAAGCAAATACAATACATTGGTTTTTCGCAGACCAAATAGTCCCTTAGCTGATTGAATATACTTCAGTGCTCATTTTAGTATCTTACTAGAATCTGATGGATGATTAACTCAATTTTCTAAATATACCTTAAACAATACATAACACATTATTTAAATAGGCATGATAAGTTTTAAATTGACATATAATCTGTAAAATCAACAAGTCATATAAAACATAAGTAATTCAAAGCATATTATTTACATACATCTACAGAGCATTCAATATATATCAAAGTGTTTATACAAAATATAAATTTCATTTGATGTACTACTTCAATGCTCTACTACACACAACATCTATACAACAAAATATATTAACATGTTAGCCTCAATATTTTCTTTGATTTTTTCTTGTTAAAACAATTATAATAATTTATTGAATTGTGTGGCGTTGCAAGATAAATAAATCTAATTCAGAGTTTTAATACTGAAGAATGGTAGAATAATATCCGTGAATTCACATAATCGTAAAATTGAGTATAAATGGCTAACAAGATTATCTTAACATTTCAAAATTAAACTTTGATTACATAAATATTAATATTAAAATATTTGTATAAAGAAATGATAACAAGATTATAAATATAATTTTATTCACTATATTATGTCAGCCAATGATCTAATTTCTTACATATTAATTTAAATGCATAAATTGCCGAGCCATCCCTCTATAACATGACATTTTTTGAGTGTAATTTCTTTTAATCATTGAATATTTAAATGAAAATGTGAATCTATTTTAATAATGTCAAATGGATAAATTGTAGATGCTAAATGCTTTCATTTAAAAGTGTCACTAATTAACAAAATATTTATATAATAATAATATATTTAATCTGTAGCTTTTAGCCTCAATATTTATGTTTGGTTTACATACGAGTTATAGGCTGTAAACATACATAAGACTCAATATGAATAATTTCTATAGTATTGCATACATAAGTCTCATTTAACTATAAATGCATATGAAACAGGCTAAAGAAATTTGTTTCTCTATTAAAATTTTCATATCTTACCCAATTTATGATTTACTACTATGATTTGCTAGCTTGAAACTTTTTTTTTTTTGTAAACAGTTTTAATATTATTTCTCTTAATACATGCATCGAAAATCACCGTGCTAATTTAAAATTGATTTGTCAAGAAAAATATCAAACGCTAAATTTTAAATAAAAATACTTTTTTATCTAATTTTTTTCTTTTAATCCTCTCATTTCTTCATCTTTTCTCTCTCCACCTCTTTTTCTCTTTTTCTCTTCCTTTTTTACCTTTTTTTTCTTCTTTTTTTTCCTTTCTTATTTTCTTTTTCTCCCCTCTCCCTATTTTCCTTTAGCCTTCTTCCAGGTTCATGTGATGGAGAAATGAGGTTGTTTTGAAATGCTAAGTATATAACATTACTATGCATACATCTCTCTCTCTCTCTCTCTCTCTTATATATATATATATATATATATATATATATGTATATATCTTTGTAATTAAACTTACCATACTTAATATCATTACAATCCGATCTATTGCGTGCTTACTAAAGTGGAAAAGAAAAACTAAATCCGTTGAATGCTTTAGTTACCAACGAACAATATTATTAATTAATCCAAATGGAATTTAATTCTATAGCTTTCTGTCTTGATGAATTAGCATTTTCATCTACGTTATTCAAAATGTAGAATGTAATGGACTGATTTTTAAAAAAGATAAAATTTTTTGGTAAACTTTATTTAGGGTTTTTGCACTTGTAACTTATAAAAAATTGTGTATTACATGCACAGGAGCACTTATTTTTGGGAATTAAGCAGGGGTTAGTTTTGTATTTCATATCTATGCCTCGCGGTTGAAGTTGACAAAGGTGAGATGATGGATGGCCACATCGAGGCGTATACACAATTGGCTTTTTATCCTCTCTTTTTTTAACCATTTACTTATTTTTCTAATTTTTGTGGGATTTTTTGCTTTTTTTGGTGGAATTTTTTATGTTCACTATTAAATGCATTCGAAGTTATATATATTTTACAAACAAATTCATTGCTGATTGTGGGTGTTGCGTGATTTGTTTGGAGTTGTCTAAATATTCTTTTTAACATATCTATTTAATTTTTGTTGAACAGGGTTTGTGGTTATGTTTTTATCATTATTAGTGGCAGATAAATAATGACCTTAATTCATAGATTTTCAATCAATAGACTTCCCATAAATTTTCCAGTTTTTTCTATTTGTGTCTATACTTATGGGAGTGATCAGCTCAGGGCCTTGTTTTTCCTTGGTGAAGTTCTTATTATAGCATACATTCCTTGAGAAGAAGGGTAGAACTCTCTGTGTAGGTTGAAGTTTTTTGATTTTTTATCATGATCTTCTTGGGACTTTCTTTTCTACAAACTTCATCAATAGAAAAGACTTATTAAATACATAGGAGCATTTTTATCTCACATATCCAACCCCTGACTTATTCAAGATTCTTGTTGGGTTGTCTAAGAAGAAATTTAAATATACTATCTCTTATCGGTGTTTGTCTTTTTGGCAGCATCCTAAAACACTTCTTATCTAGTCCTTCAAAGGCATTCAGTTATTGTCAATATTGACTAAGGGTGTTGTAGTATTGTTTAACCTCTTTATCGAAGATCTTTTAGGGCATCTTGCCTTTAATTTCAAATATTTCTGCCATATTTTTGCTGTTATAGTTTTTTTTTTGGTGGCAAAGTCATAGGTTTTATATGTGATTCTATGAGGCTTGAAATTTTGATCTTTTATTTGATAAGCAAAACCATGCTATTTTTGGGTAGGGATATAATCGAGCTGAGTCGAGCTGAGCCGAGTATATCATTGTTCGGACTTGACTTGATATAATTATAAGTTGTTTATGTTCGGCTTGAACTTGGGTCGAGCTTTCATACATTGTTCAAGCTTGATTTGTTCAACTTTTTCAATGTTTGAACTTGATTTGTTTATGACAAGTGAACGAGTATTTAAATGAGTTAAAAATTCAAATGAAAATCTAGATTTTCATATAAAAAACTTATTAAATAATTTTTCAATTCTAATCGTCGCTGCTAATTTGTTGATTATGAACTTTAAAACCTTTAAATTTTATTAGTTAGTTACATAATTCTTATTGATAGGACTACACTAGTTTAAATTTGCAAGTGGAGGAACTAAATTGATCCTAAAAGTTATATGAATGATTGTTTACTTAATCATATTAATTAGAAAAATTATAGCAATAAGACAATCCACATTAATGTTGTTGGTAATTGCAATGTGATGGTTATAAAAAATGAACTCATTATATTTAAGGTTATAAAATCTCTACAAGAAAAATCTTTTATGACACTTTCTTTAACTGTAAATATTATCATTAACTTATTAATAAAATAAATATATAATTAATAAATAAACTAAAATTATCATTGATATAATAATATATTATTACTAAATCTATAAGTAAATAAATTCTAACTAATTAATTTTTATTTAAATAATATATCATATATAATAGGAGTTATTATTGAGTATTTAATAAGTTACTTGTTGAACTACAAACAAGTGTTTTCGTGAACATAATCGAAAAAGTTTGACTATGTTCACGTTCAGTTCGTTTATGCTTCGAGCTTTTAAAAATTGTTCAAGCTTGTTTATTTACTAATTTGAACGAACATTAAGTCTTAATCGGGTCGACTTCAAGTTGTTCATCGAGTGCATTTGTTCATTTACAACCCTATTTTTGGGATCGTTATATTTTGAAATATGGATTTTGTTTTTTAGAGTAATGGCATTACGAGTTAGATAATTTTCTTTGCCTCTTTCACTGATAAACATCATAATGAATAAAGTCCATTGTTGAAAATTTTGTTTGTTCAGTTTTTGCTCAATCACTGGTGAGTTGGATAAGTTTTCATCATGTGAAGAGAAGCCTTCGCTCTGTTATCGGAGTTTATATATATAGGTACCGTTTTCAAAAGATTGATGGAGCGATGAATCATTTTGTCTTCTACCTCACGATTTGTTTCATTTTTCTCAAGAAATAATTATTGAAAATTGTTAAAAGGTCTATAGTAACATAACTTCTCCAAAATAAAAAAATAAAAAAAATGAATAAAAAATGTCCAAATATTATCTAGATATATATAAGAGTTTTTTGAGATAAACATAATTTGGCTACACTTTTCTACACAAATAACATAATTAACAAAATTATGATTGCATTTTAATTTTTGCACGTTTGCTCCTGAGGATTTCATTTATTTATTTATTTATTTATTTTTTATGTGTTTGCATAATCTCACTTTGTAGGAAGAATCTAGAATATGAACTTTTTGTAATATGTTTTTTTTTTCTCGCTTTTATATTGAAAAATTTAATTTATGTCAATGTTTTTGTTGTAGCATTGAAGTTGAGATCAGGCATCAATTTCAAGGGAATTTTGAAAGATTCAGCTCAAACTTTTTAGTTTCGGGCTTTGAACAATTTTATTATGGCAGAGGAGGAAGCAGTACAATCCAGTGAATGGCAAGGTGAGGAAGAAAATGTCAGAAATGATTTCTCCAAAAGAATTAGGAGGAGTCAAAGAGCTTATGATCATAATGAGATGGAAATAGACAATGAAACAGAGAAATCAAGGGAAGCGAGAAAGCTTGATAGCAAGGAGATGAGGAAAGAAAGGCGGAAAGAAAAAGACTACGGAGGTAAGGACAAGGACAGGTCGAAGCAAAGGGAAAAAGAGGATATTTTAGGTAGAGACATGGACAAACATGGTTCAAGGGAAGGGAGGGGTGGTAGTAGAGAGAAAGGGAAGGAAGAGAAGGATGATTATGGTAAGGAGAGGGAGGAGCTTGGGTTGGACAAAGAAAAAAATAGAGACAAGGTTCGCGAGATGGATTATGATCGAATAAAGCCTCGAGAAGATAGAGAAAATAGAAGAGAAAAAGATAGAGGGAAAGAACATGAAAAGGGCAAAGATATTGATCATAACAAAGAGCAAAGCATTAATAAGGAATGTGATGTAGGTCGAGGTCATGTGAAGGATAAAGGAAGGGAAAGAAAAGTCAAAGAAAGGGAATGTGATAGGGATAAAGGTATTGATCGTGGTAAAGAGCGCAGCTTTGACAAGGAGCATGACCAAACCCGTGGTCATTTGAAGAATAGAGCAAGGGAGGTTCAAAAGGAGAAAGAGGTTGAGAGGAATAGAGGATTGCATCATGAGCGTGAGCATGGGAGAGATAGGGACAGGGTACATGATCATCATAAGGATCGAGACAAAAATTGGGAGAGTGATAGAGATAAAGAACATGATAAGAGCAAAATTTCTTATAGAGACTACAATAAGGAGATTGATAAAGAGTTAGAGAGAGATAGAGTGAAGGAGAAAGATCGTGAAAGGGGAAAGGACAGAGAAAAGGTAAAGGACAAAAAGAGAAAAACCAAAAGATCGAGAAGAGAAGGACAAGGGCAAGAAAAAGCACAGAGAGAAGGAAGAGGATGTAGTCATAGATCAAGATAAATCAAGAGGAAGAGATAGAGAGAGCAATGCTATTAGAGATAAGGAGGTTGACGTGGAAGAAAACCTTCATGTAAAGAGCATGGTTGAGATTCATGAAATCGTCAACGCATCAAGTGATATTTCTTTTGATAGTCATAGTGTAAAGGGGTTGGGTTCACAAACATCCTCTGAGCTGAAGGAGCGTTTAAAAAAGTAAGTTCTGTAATATTATGAAAGTTATATTTTTCTCTTTTAAGGTTATTGATCTAAGACCATATGGAAGCTCATATATTTCTTATCAACACTTGGGATCTGCCACTTTAAATCATGTTAAAAATTCATTTTTGATTTCAAATTTAATGCATCTCATATGTATTATTTTTGTTACTTGACTTCTTTTCATTCCATTTGCATTTCTTTCCATTAATGGCATTTTCACACCTTATTTGTGTTTTACATTGTCCAGTTCCATTAAAATGATGTCTATTAATGGCAAAGCTGCTCTTTCAAGAAACTTGTGACATTATAACATTTTTTTATTGTGTTACTGTGTTTTATCTTTATCTTGTGTTCTGTCAGTTTAAACATCCAAAACATAAAAATTATCATCTTAAGGGACCAACATTAATTCAACGCATGAAAAAATATTTCTTTATTGTTGAAAAAATTATAGTTGTGCCATTTATATTAAATATGTACGAACATATACTCTGTTTGTTGATCCACATTCTAAAAATTACTAGGTGATTGAATATTTCACTTTTTAAGAACATTTGATCGTTCATCAAATATGCTGGAAAATTTGGCAGCCTTTAATATCCCTCACTAAAAGTAATAAAACATGTATTTTAGTCGAGTCCATTGAAATTGTTCTAGATTTATTTTTATGCTTGCTAAAAAAGTATTTAATTTGAGTGCTACATTGTGAAGTTAATGTATCATTATTCAACTATTTAAGCAATCCGTTTGGTGTTTTTTTTGTAAGCTTGATGCATTACCAAATCATTTTTCAAGTTTTATGATATTTTACATCATACCAAATTTTATGAAGTTTTAATTGAAATTCAATGGTTTATATATATATTCTGCTAATTCGTATCAAGGTTTTAAAATTTGGCTTTGGTCAAAATTTAAAGTTTTAATTTCAGTGTTTTGATAGTTTTAAGTTTTAGGAACTTGCTTTGGTAGGTTTCAATATTAGAATATTTTAAAAATATTTTTAAGTTATGAAATTAAGAGAATTATCAACTTGGAAGTCTGAGTTGCAAACCATGAAAGTTCATGGAGTTTTGAGTGGTAGAGCTTATTCAAAATCTATGAGTTTTGTTTTTAATTATTGAAATTCATCCGAAATTTCATGGCACCAAAAGCTGCTATGGATTTTCCATCAGAATTCTTATAGAACTAGTAGAAATTTAAAATATTAATAATTTTCTTGTCCGCTTTAATTAAAACTTCTCCTATTTGTATCAAGAGAAATCTTGGGCTTCACCTCTTTAATTTTTATCAAGAGAAAGCCTGTGCTTCAGCATATTTTAAATTAATTAATTAAGCGCTTCATATTTTTTGCTACCAATGAAATGCTGGTTTTAAAATGTTTTATCTGACAAAGTGTTCTATTTGCAAACATGTATTAATTATTATAGTTTTATTTTTTATGATAAAAATACTGGAATCATCAGGTAGGCCCTTACTTTAAATGATTGTGCAGATTGAATTGTTGAATTTGTGGAATTATAACTATCCATGAAACTACTTAAATGAAGAAAGGGTTTGATTATGCTTTTGACTAGGAGCAATGAACATGAAATTTGAAAGTGAAGCGGTGTCCTCAAACTTGAGATTTAAGCTTTTCATCCAAAGATCATGAAATCACTAGAGGTTTTTGGGGAATATCATTGCACTTTTAGCCTGAGTGTACATGGCTTAGAGCTTGTTGGCTTTCTGTACTAGATTAGATATCTAATTGCTTTATTTTTTTGGTCAAAACAACGGATTTGTTTCGTAACAAAATTCCTTTTAGCGGTTTTGGAAAAGTTTAATGACGTAATAGCTGTCCTTAGTAATGTTATATTATCAGATGCAAATAGAAAAGGTAAGAAGGATGTTGAGCTTTGTAGATGGAGTGGATTGAGGTCCATCATTCCTTTGGTATTGTTTCTGGTAAGCCTTTCACTGTGATGGTGAATCTCCTCCCTTGGTGATGCATTTTTCCTCCTGAGAACGATCTTCATCGTTACCAAGGAAAAAGATCTAGTTGTTTGAGATGTTTGGCCAAGGATTACTTTTCCCAGGATTGTAGGAATGCTAATTTTTGTCATAGTTATAAAATGGTTGGCCACTCCAGCACTCCAACAATCTCTTTCCGTATATTTTTTTTTCGAAGACATTGAAAAGTAAAAAATTATTTTTGCAATTCTTTGGCTTTCTATATCGGATTTAAAAATCAAGAAAATGATTTTCATATGCTCTGTGTGGACATTGGAATAAAACTAATTTCATTCCATTATTTTTATAAATCTTTTATCTTTCTTCATCAAATTTAGATCTATAGAAACTCTTTCAAAGTTAGATCTATAGAAATTCTTGAATCCTCTTTGAATAGAGATTGCATCTACCTTAATGGTTTCGTTTTTAAGGTGAAAAAATGGGATGAGAACGTGGGCCGTTCTAATGCTATTATTGTGAAAGGTTCTGGCTAGACTTTCACTATCTGCTTTTTTGTCATTGTAATTGGTTTGCTCTTGATTTCATTTCTCCAATTTTGGGAACCTGATTTGTAGGGATAGTCATACTATTCTTAAAGCTGTTCTTCATGAAGCTTTGGTGATGGTTGCAGTCAATGATCTTAAAGCATTCTTGTGGAAGGGTTTGTTTTCCCTGATTTCCTTTCAACTTTAAATTATGGTATGGCTCTTGTTATTATATCCTACAAGGCTGAAAGCGAAGCTAAGAGAAGTTTTCCCCGTTAATTAGGTTTATTCCACATATTTTCCTGCAACCTCTCTTTCCACAGGCATTGCTAAAAATCTGGGAGCGGTTTCAGATTCCATTAATTCTGAAAATTTGAGAGAGGAATCAATAAAAATATATTGTCGTGTTCCACATTTCATACAGCTGTTGTGGTAGATTAGGCCCCAATTCCTCAATATCCTTCAGTAAATTCTTTTGAATTGACTACCTCAGCTTTTCCATTTATCTTCCATTTCATGTAAAGGTGGTTCTAGAATTGTCCCTTCTTCCTTTATTCCTACAACTGCGCTTATTGCAGTTTGATTCCCCGCAGGATAATAGTACTTCCATATTTTCCACCATTCTGATGGCAACTATAATATGAACATTCTGGAAGAATCATATAAAGTAAATCTGACAGCTTTAGGCTTGAATTAGATGCGGAATTCTATTGATCCATCTTTTCTGGATTTTGAGGCTTTTTCTGCTATTAATTTTCTCTATGTAATTGGTTCCATGTATTGCTGATGATGTACACAAACAAGGTAATAAAATTTTTAATTCGACAGTAAAAAAAGTCATTCTATATTCATGAATAGGAAATTAACTTCTGGCTTCATTTGAAAATGGAATACAACCCACTTTGCTTGCTGAGAATCCTACTCTCAAATCATTCTTCTATCTAGCATCTTATTTTTAAAACATGTCATTAAAAAGATTTCCATTCTAAGTTACTAAAGGATGCTAAATGAAGTTTAATGCTTTACAACACCCAAATCTTTCTCATTTGTAATTCAAGCCAAACATGACTTATGCTTAATCCCATTATGTTCTTTTTATGTTGGCACTTTCGTGGAGGGTTTCGGAAATGTTTTCAAATGAAGCTCACTTTAGCCTTTGGTTGGTAGCTTAGACCTCTAACAAAGAGGTTGAGTTTGAGGCATTGCATACGTGGTGTGTATGAGTTTGAGATTAAATCTGCCCAAATGTTACGTTTTAATGCTTTCTTACTTGGTGAATATTTTCCCTTCATGAGCATTGGTACTTTGAGCATGCATTACATTAGTTAAAAAAGAAAATTGGTTAAAGAAAAGATTGATCAATTGTAGTTTTAAATTATTCATCTTCAAGATTTTAATTTTTTAACCCTCTTTGGACATTGTTAAATCTCTTGTACCTTCAATAATCAAGAGAATAACATATTTGCTAGGCTATTATTTCCAATTTTCAATCGCATCAACTCTCTGCCTATTGCTGCATCGTGCCCTAATTATGAACACAATATTTCTTTACGTCCATCTACCATTTTCTTATGCGCTTGAGCTAAGTATCTCCTTTTCTAGTCACTATGGGCATGGATTCCTAAGTTTCGCTTCTTCCATGCTATAGTTTTGTGCTTAATTGTGTTGTAGACTGTCTCTGGTGCAAATACTTTGTGAAGCTTGTCTTATTTTCTCTCGGTATCTATGAAACTTAGGGAGAACCTTATTTTGTTTTCATCTTTTATTTTCTACTTGATGGTGAATTTTTGCTTTTTTTTTTATGGTTGTTGTCATGCTATTATCTTTCGTTGGTTTCCCCCTGAGCTTCCAACCTTTTATCCAGGTGGAGTTTGACTTTCCTTAGGTTTTTCCTTTTGTGTGTTGTCTAGTAATTCCATGTCTCCTATTACATGACCTCAATGCTCATTCACTAATGTTGTTAGTGATTTGACTTTCCTTCGGTTTTTCCTTTTGTGTGTTGTCTAGTAATTCTATGCCTCCTATTACATGACCTCAATGCTCATTTACTAATGTTGTTAGTGATTCAAATGTTGCTAACTTTCACCTCTTGCCATCCAACTAATACTTTTCTGGGGCATTTACATATCGCACAATTCTTATGTGTTTGCGTATCTCACACCCAAACTTTCATAGTTACGTACATAATACTCAAATCTTTAATATCATATAAAAAATAACACTATTATCACTTTTTAAAAGTGCACCTTTTCATGCATAGGTTTAAGGCACCAAAGTGCTATGTTCGTGCACCAAAGTGCTATGTTCGTGTTCGTAAATATGAAAGTTTAGGCATTTGATATGTAAATACATAAGAATTGTGTGCTACATATTTATATCTCCCTTTTTTTTCTACCGAGATTTAGCTGCACTATAACAAAAGTGCCCTTCATTTTATTAATGCAAGCTTGCTATCTTATTAACCAGTGAGATGATATCTGTGCTTGCTAAACCACTCTCTTCCAATTATTGGAGAATATT